CTATTTGCGTACGTCTGTATACAGACAGACAGACACATATATAACTGAAAGTTTCATTAAACAGTACCCTTACTGAAACAAGCCAGGCACAGAAAGAGAAATACCACAAGTTCTCACTCATATGTGGAAGATAAAAAAGTTGATCTTGCAGAAGTAGAGAGTAGAACAAGGGTTACTAGAGGCTGAGGGGTGGAGGTGGACAGGGAGAGGTAGGTTACAGACACAAAATTACAGCTAGATAGGAAGAATAAGTTCTAGTGTTCTATAGCATTGTAGGGTGACTATAGTTAATAATTTATTGTATATTTACAAATAGCTAGAATATTTTGAATGTTCCCAACACAGAGGAATGATAAATGTTTGAGGTGATGGATATGCTCATTACTCTGCTTTGATCATTACATGTTTATCCATGTATTGAAATATCATACTGTACCACATAAATATGTAAATTATGTGTCAATTAAAAATAATTTAATAAAAAAGCAATACTCTTACACTCTTGTTTTCTTTTCTAAAACAGTTGGGGTATTTTACTGCTGGTTGTTATCCACTAAAGTAACTTTTGACACACACAGGTCGCAATCCACCATTGGAAACACTTTGGTCCAGCAGGCCATGCCATGCCTTTTCTCTGCCCTTGGCCTTTTGAGCACAGGTACAATAAAGTCCTCAACTAACCAGTTCACCATGAACACTCAACCAAAGTATAAGTGTACTCAACAAAACATTTTCCCCTGAAAAAAATAACATGAACACTCTACAATTTTTCTCATGCTAAGATTTTCTATGAGATGTCTGCTTGTTCTGATGGAATACAACCAAAAATAATAAAACCTTATGGAATTCTGATGATTCTCTTATTAATTTCGGAAGGAAGAGAATGGTCAAACTTCATGCCAAATTGCCTCCAAACCAAGATACATCAGGCAATTCAGTCAGTACCTTTCATTCCTGCTAGCTCTGGAGTATCCTAAGTTGTCAGAGGAGGAACACTTGTAGAGATCATAACTCTGCCATAAAGCCTCATTACTGCTGACCTTATTTATTTGGAATTTGGCATAAAAACTTTAAACAGTCTTTACCCACATTTACCTTTGCCAATCTAAAAAGCAAGAGATAAACAAATCAAGAACAAAAAGAAGATTGTGTGAAAAGTATTTACCTTACTTAAGAGAAAAAACTCATTTAGCATTGTGGAGCTCACAGCATAATCATACCAATGTGATAAATTCTTATTACAAATCACTTTTATCTATCTGTTAAGGCAGGCCTGGCAGGATTTCTATTTGGCAAAACAATCAAACTTGTTCAAAATGCTCTCTGTACTTGAATGGTGCTGCATTTATTTAAAAATAGGCTGTGATTCAGAACAGCATATGCAAAATTTTAATGAGTGCCTGAAATTATTCTGTTAGTAAAGTTGTATAGCATTAAACACCTTAATCCTCATATGCTGGTTTCACAGGCATGAACCTCAAATTTTTCTATGTAAAGCAGACTGTTCTAGTATTCTGACTCCCAAGAGTTGGAAAACAGTTTGATTTTTCTTCCATGCAAAATAAGTTTATGGTATACAGAAGAAATAACAAGCATTGCTTTTTCTTAATCATGATCCCCATGAAGACAATCCTACAGTCACCTATTTAAATGTCTATTATACTGAACCTTAAATTCTTAGTTTTTTCTGGCTCTAATGATGATTCAACTTTCTAATAATTTCAAATACTCTACGGATTTTTTAAAAAGTCTATAATGCCTCAGTTTATATCACAAAACATGTACTTCCCTAAAATGCTCTGCATAAATGAAAATATCTCTACTACTTTTCCCCCAAATATACTCTATGTAGAATATGGTTAAAAGGGGAATAGAAGGGGAGTGAGATGGAAGTGAGAAGGTGGGAAAGAGAGGAGGAAGGGGAAAGAGAGAGGAGAATCACTAAATGGTCTTTTACCCGAGCTTATATGTAGCCAGGCACAGGACAATGAGGTTATCATCACTATGTTAATTGGCTGCAAAGACAACAGAAATGTTAAATTAATGCACCCATAAAAGTGTAGTTCTGTGTATGCCACAAGGGACATTACCTAGGAGTGACCATTGAAGGACCCTGCCTGTTTTTCCATAGTGGTCATCATCCATTGCCTTCAGAACACACCATATTCTCAGTAAGTCATGACATTTCCATGTCAGATGGGGAGATGTGTGTTTCCCAAACTCAGTGTGACCATTAAAACAACCAGTGGAACTTGTTAAATACATGGAGATCCCAGTCCCATCCTTAGAACTATTGAGCCAGAATTTCTACAGAAGAATCTGAATTTTCAAACTGATGGCAAATTCAGGCTGTTGGCTGTCTGCCTTTCTGCCAGGCAGCTTCCTACCAGCATTCAACCAAGGGAGCCAGACAACCACTCACACAGATGCTCTGATAAAGGATTAATGACTTAAAAAAAAAAATCTGGACAGAGCTACTGGAGGCTAATTGAGAAACACAGGACTAAATTCCAATAGGGTAAAGAAAGGAGCAGACTGTGATAACAGTGGCCATGAAAAATGTTTGTCTAGGATCAAATATTTAGCCTATATGTGTTTTAAAAGCTAGAAAGTGAAATATAACACAAACCCATGGCAGTCTGGGGATTATCTATATATTCCAAACTTTCACATCACCATGGGATTTAGAATTTAATAATCATCCAAAACATGCCAGGGATCCCTAAATACATTCATATTCTTTAGTCTCTTTAATAATAATCGTCTGAAATGAAGAAGGGTTAAAGTAAAGACTGACAATTCTCTCCTCTGCAACGGGCTCCGGGGCAGGGAGGAATTGCCACATCAGATGAAAGAGCAAATAATTACCTTCTAAAATTCCTCCTGCCATTTTTATTTTACTTTTATTAAATACAAATTATAATCAAACAAACTTCATCTCTGAATTGAACCGTTTTAAAAATAATATAAGTATATACATACCAGGGATGTTAGCCAAGAACTAATTCAGCAGCTGTGTGTTTAATAAGAACAACTCAAGTAAATTCTGAACAGTAAATTCTGAGGCACACTTTTGATTCTCTCTCTCTTCCTCATTCTCTTCTGGTGCATTCTACTCATCATACAATACTGTGTACGTTCACAGCACTTCATAAATAATAAAAATTAAAATGAGGACTGTAGACTCAGGCCTGACGGAATCAATTCTTAGGCACAATTCCAAAGATTAACTTTAACCATGTGGAAATTATGCCAAATGTCCTCAAATGTATTGTTGAAATATTCTTACTTCCAAAGCAAAATGAATAATCAAAACGTGCAATATAGTTGGCCATTCTGAATGGGTTAAGTGTGTCAATGATGGAAAACCAATCTATTCACTTTCATATTTTCTAAAATCTCTAAAGTTGTAACCAGATTTTTGAATAACAAATTAATCAATTCTCAGTTTCTCATGATAAATGGGGGAAAAACTGTCACATGGATACTGCAAGAGAATAAGCCATCCAAAATTATCTGGAATTGTTTTAATATTTATGTTTCCCTGGGGGGTTTTCTTTGGAGACTGATTAAATTACATCTTTATTAGGCTAGTAATGAAGTTCATTTCATTCTTTACGTAAAAATACCTTTCCAAAGGGAAAGAGGATCCAGTTTATGTTAAATTTCCAATTTACCCAAGTAGTTGGCCAGGGATTTTTAAATGGCTGCAAACAAATAGGCAGATAACCCTCTAATAGAAGCTTCTTCTTCTGCATGATGAGTATAAAACATCCCAACATACCACAAAAATTACTGATGATTAATTAAGAACATATTCTATATCACTTGGCAAATGTGAAGTTTATACAAAGATACAGAATTACACTTGGAAATTCACCGTGTCTTATTATTGTTTGCACTTAAGTTCCCAATTCCTTGCTACTGTGATCACGAATATTAAGGTAACAAGACTGGAATTTCTGTAGGAATGCCAGCCAATCAAAGTCCAGTTAACAACACTCAAAAAATAACTGTAAAATAATTTATATCCCACATGATGAGTAACTAATACAACAAGATTAAAAGAAGGCAATTTGGACTGAAAGAAGAGAGGCAATTGAGAAATGATATGTAGTATTATCATTTAGCAATAAAAGTCATAGAGAAAAAGAGCAGCAAATACGAAACTGAACAGCAAGAACCAAAAAGCCAGACATGACAAATAATGCTCAGCTTGCAATTATTTTGAATTGTTTGATGGTATTTGTCATTATCCTCTGATGACTACATGCATCTGCACTCAGTGAAATATACACAACAAAGTTTGTTGAGACTAAGGTCACACTTTAAAAAGAAAAAACTATCCATAAAAATATACAGTGGCAGGCCACATTTGAAAATACTATGTAATGTTGGAAAAACACTAAGGGGGTCTATACTTCCATTTCCAACCATCCATGCATTGGGTAGTAATTGGGTAGCAAAGACAGAAAAGCCCAGACAAGGGAAATACTCAGCCTGAAAGAGGAATCTAGTGGGTCCTTGCTGTCCGATAGATGAAGAGAAGAAGAAAGCTCTCGAGAAAGGAAATCTAAGGTTCAAACCACATTGGGGGTGGGAGGAAGCAGCTATTAAATCTGTGTGGTACATAAAAAAGAACTCTGAAGTGCAAACAATGGGAATTTATGTGTTGAAAACGCATTCTTACACGGGGAGAGTGACCACGACTCATGGATATCGACCAAATGGGCATCCTACAAATTATAGGTTGCTATGATATCTTTTATAATAATATTTCTACTATACTATTCATACTTAAAAATATTTTTCTGTTGTTGGGTAAAAAAAATTGTATACTGTTTTTAATTATGATAATCTTCTTGAAACACTGCCATTTAAAAAATATTTTGGGACAAAAGGGATAAGAATAAAGGTTGGCTTTTTTCTCCCACAAACGTGCAGTAATTCTTTAACCTCAGTTATCAAAACCACCAATTTCTCTCTCTCACACAATTTACCTTTCTTGGATTTGGCTCCGATCTTCAATTTTGATGGCCAAGCAATCTGCGTATTTGTTTCTTCCATGATCTGTAACAAAAATTGAGAAAAATATTGACTCAATTAAGAATTGTATTTACAGATAAGGTTTTTCATACACAAAGAAGCTTATTTTCAAGTTTCTAGCTTGGTGTTGACACAAAATGATCTCATTGTAAAACTATGCAAAAAAAAAAAAAAACCTTGGGGGAAAAAAAGAGACGTTTTTAAAAGCCTTTAATCTATTAGAATTATTCAAGTATATTTTGTTACTCCCAGTGTTCCTCTCCACAATGCTGTAGAATCTTAACATAGAGACAAGAGACCAAAAAGTACATGAACAAGTAATTAACCCAACCTGATGCCAGAACTGTCAGAGATGCTTGCACTGAATAAAATTCCCCAAGACAATTGCCAATGGATTGCAACACACCAAACTTGATTCTTGTAATATAAAACTGCACGAGTTAGGCCATACTAAATGAGAAGGGCTTTTTCCCCCCTGGGAAAAAAATAAGTTGCTTTGGGCACATTTGTATTTCATTAAAACTGATGAAAAGCCTCTAAACACGACATCGTGTCGTAAGGCTGCCTTCCCCGTCACCCTCTGCATCGTCCAGAATGGCATTTTTGCCCCAGTTCTTCCCCTTTTCACATGCAGCTAACACCAGCCAGGAGATCTTGAGACCCAAATGAGCCGAAGCACAAGACCAAGTGAGGGAAGCAAGGACTGCAACGGAAGTGGGCACTAGAGAAGAGTAAGTACTCCCAAATACACATCCTTTGTTTCTCGTTGATTTTATCATGTGAATTATACTAGATTAATGTTTACTACTGTAACATGAATACAGAATTAACCAAACTAATAGAGCAAACAACTAAACAACTTAATAGGCAAACAACAGCAACTACCATTCATTCATTTAATCACTTGAATTAGAGGAGGATAATATTTATCTTTAATAAGGATTTAGAGTTAACTAAATAAATTAATGGTGAAGACAACTGAACACATTAACAGTGCCATTAATGACAAGTGCCTTTCTCCTCTGCATGGGCTAGGTACTGGCACAAGGACAAATGGTTCACATGCATCATACTTCATTGAACCCCCTTTGTCACAGCATAAAGGGCTTTCACCAGATGTTTCAGACTGGCAGCCCACAGACGCATTTTGTCTATTCATCATAAGGATTTTTCAAGCTTGAGCCAACATTTTTAAATCTGGGAATTTCACATAAAAATTCAGATTTCTGGTTCTCTGGAAAACTTGGCAGATTTAGCACATGGAAGCCACATTCCCACATGGCAACATTTGGCTTGTACCAAGGTGCAGCTGCCCCCTTGAGTCAGGGCCAGCAAGCTCTGGCTGCTCCCAGTCCCTACTGTGTCTTTGACTCTGAGGTCAAAGGACACTTGCCATCATAATCATCGTGTTTGTGCTGCCTACTTTCCACTTATCGTGACATTTGATGTTCTACTTAGAGAAATATCCTCTACACTCATGTCTCTATAAGAAATTAAGCAACAAAATTAAGGCCACACTGTCTTCACTAAGTCAAGGTACTGGTCTGGCCCCAAAGGCAGGTGAGCTTGTGACTTCAACCCTACAGGACCCAGCCCCTGCCTCCTCTCCTCTCATGCCTGTCCTTGTTAACATGTTTAGTTGTTTGCACCGTTAGTTTAATTAGTTAATTCCAAACCCAGGTTAAAAAATAAAAAATAAAATACTATCCTTCTCAACTCCCTCTGTACCAGCCACCATGCTGGCCACCCCAAAAACACACCCAAAAAGCATCCCCTTTCAGGTCCCTTGCGTTCTCTGCTCTCTTCCGCAGACCTTCCTGTCCCAGCCCCTCATGCTCAGACTTTAGCCGCCACCTCGTCCAAGTCGCAGTCCCTTTCCACTCTCACACCACCCCAGCCACAATTATTCTTCCCACCTCACTGCCTTTATTTCCCTCCTAATCCTTAGCACAATCAGAAATCCTCCTCTTTTCTGTGTTTCCTTGTTTATATTCTGTCTTCAGAAAATAGACAGCTCTCTTCCCTGCACACAGCAAGCCCTGGATATAACAAGATTCAGAATTTTCCTCTAAGTTGGTTAAGATTCCTTAAGAGATAAAATAGAAAAATAAGATCTTACTATAATACTGTTGGGTAGGGAGGTGGTAAAGAAATAATCTGCATGCTTTTCTTTTTCTGAATTGAATAATTTGGCCATTTAATCCAGTAAATGATGTCAGGTGCCATAGTATGATACTATAATAGCGAAGCACCCCTGTTAATATATGGGTAGAAGAAATAGCTTTCTGAAATCTCAATCATTAGCAGAATTTCCCAGAGATCACCCTGCATATGATCTTCTTTTATTAAACACCAATAGGTGCTCCATGATAGGAAATAATATGCCAGAGAAAATAGCCTAAGACCAGTAGGTAACAACCATCACACTGGAATGTCTACTTCACACCTACTCCCTCCAACCCCCACGACAACCCCACGTCTCTGTTGTGCAGAGAAGTGGTGGCTCATGAGGACTCACTCTCAACCTACCCACATCGACACTGTCTGTAATGGGAACAGAGGTGACCTAGTATCCCTAACTCTAATAAAACCAGAGTTCTGTTTACTATACCACATGATCTCTAAAGTTCTGAGTCCCAGGAAATGCCAAACCTTTTAGAGAAAACTAATTACTAGAAATTAGAATTTAGCATCTGAAGCTGACCTTTCCTATGTAACTAGAAAAGAAGTGACTCCCTTGAGCACCATTTGTGGCCAGCCAACGCCAGCTGCCCAGGTCATTCATGAGGCTGCCAGCCCCATACAGAGCTCTGGATGGATGCCTTCACAGACACGCTTTATTTGTTCATCATTGTGTGTAAGCTGGCCATTAAGAGCAGGTACACTGGAGTTAAGTACCAGCTCTGACCCTTCTAGCTGTGTTGTGCTGAGCAAATTACTGAACTTCTATCAATATCGCTTTCCTCCTCTGTAAAATTAATTATATCTACTCTCGAAATTGTTGTGAGGACTTAATGAGAAAACACATGGGAAAACCCCAAGCACAGAGCATGGCACATAATGCTTGATAATATTAGCCCTCGTATTTTCTACAATATTGATTACTTTCAGTCAGGCAGGCATTGTCCTACACACTAGCAATACAAGAGCAAGCAACATGGTGCCTATCCCCCAGGAGCTCAGGGCCTAACAAGGGAGAAGGCGAGTAACCCAGGTTAATCACCACCATGGAACTGTGTGCCAAGTTCCAGAGTGGGGCAGGGCAATGTGAGATCATATAGAGGGGATCCTAACCTGGTCATGGGCAGTCAAGGAAAGTTACCCTCAAGGAAATGCTTACAAATGTTTATACATGACCTTAGGGAGGAGAACAAGCTGGGTAGCCAAAGAAAAGGTGAAGAAAGCATTCCAGGCAGAAGAGGAGGGCACATGGAAGGGTCTAGAAGGAAGAAAGGGAGCAGGTACCATAGAGGGACTGAGGGTGATTCAGCATGGCTGAGGGCCTTCAAGGTTTTGCCTCATGCATCCAGGACAGGGAATACATTTCATACCTCCACTGCCCTAGGGCTGTGCATACAAACATGCTCCAGACAGACTTGAAGACATGACACAAACTGAAGTCAGCAGTCCCCAACCTTTTTGGCACCAGTTTCATGGAAGAGAATTTTTCGACGGGGTGGGGGCCTGGGGGTGGGGGTGGGAGGGAGGTGGAGGCGGAGCTCAGGCTGTGATCACTGCTCACCTCCTGCTGTGTGCTCTGGGGGTGAGGGGGGCGGTGCACCTCCCCAGTGTTCCTAAGTTTCATGGAAGGCTCAGTCCCTAACAAGCCACATACCAACAGACCGGTACCAGTACATGGCCTGGGAGCGGGGACCACAGGAAGCCACCAAGTACCTGTGTTTGGCTGACATTACAAATACACTCTGGCCGGATGAATGATTACACATGATAAGGGGCCATACTTACTTCACTTTCAGGAAGTCAAAATCCCTCTTAGGAAGTTATCACTGAACCTTTCGCAACCATCATCTACAATGACGCCACATTGGTTGCTACGGCTTTGACACTGCACACTATTAATGTGCTTTAGCAGCAGGGTGAGGCATTCCATGACCAGGAGGGGGAAGCGGAGTTCTCCGCAGGGGGTGGTGTGGGTGGAGGTTGGCCCAGGAACTCCAGGACTGGAGCTAGGCTACTGTAGCTGGGGGCTGACGAGCATGCCCCGGGAAGGCACAGGGGTGGGGGCAAGGAGTAGAAAGGCAGGAATTATGGCAGTAAGCAAGGCAGAGGTTCTGTATCACAAGCTATGCGAAAAAGCGTCCTAAATGTTCATCAAGGCAGGTAAATAGGGGAACCGGAAAAGGTGAGTTCAGGAAAATGTGGCTGAAATCAAAGAAGCCACAAAAAACTCTGAGAAGAAAAATGATGATCTTCTGTTTCAGAAAAAAAAAAAAAAAATTCTAAAATGAGTTCCAGCTAGTTGTTTTTTGTTTTTTTAAAAAAAAAAATCTTATGATCCTTGTTTGCACCTTCACAAAACCAAAGCTCCAAGAATAAACTATTGATTTTCAATCATTTTCTACAAACACTAAAGTGACATTTTTAAAAACATCATGGAGCTAGGGACACGTTTTATAGATCCTACAATGGACGGAGACATTGACACTTTTTCAGGAGGATATCATACATTTCTCACAATCCAATTAATTCCCCAAAAACCTGATAAGGAAATCATTTCCCAGAATCCCATCACATGCCTTAATTCTGAAGTAAGTCAATATGTTATCCAAGATGTTTAGTTTGCCTTCAAGGAATAACTTGAGGCCGGGTGCGGTGGCTCACGCCTGTAATCCTAGCACTCTGGGAGGCCGACGCGGGCAGATCATTTGAGCTCAGGAGTTCAAGACCAGCCTGAGCAAGAGCGAGACCCCGTCTTTACTAAAAATAGAAAGAAATTGGCTGGAAAACTAAAAATATACAGAAAAAATTAGCCGGGCATGGTGGCGCATGCCTGTAGTCCCAGC